TTTTATCGCAGAGGTTATTTTTTAACACAAAAGACATTTCCCCCCCAGCACATTTTCCAGTTGCTTTCACAAATAAATAACTTACTGCACCTCCTTGTCTCCACCTGCTTCCTGCCTTATTCACCAAGTGCTTCCTGAGGCCGTGGGGAGTTATCTTGACCTCCAGCAGATCCTGGGGATCCTCTGGCCTTGCCACAGCCGTGAGGGGTAACAAATGGACTCTTATCTCCATCTTGCAGCCAAGGAACCAAAGCCTGTGGAGATCTGGGACTTACTCATGCTCACACAGGAAGCTTGTGGTTGATCAGAGCTAAATCCTGTTCACTTTTTTTGGGGAGGGAATTGTGACATCAAAACAACTGTATTTTTGGGTTGTGGCTTCCCCAAGCAGCCGTTGTGGACTGACCCACTCTGCAGGGTTGTTTCCCTGGGGTGTGTCTGTGGGGCTGTTTGTGCCTCAGGTGCCACAGAGCTCGTGGCAGGCTGAGTGTGCTGATGAGCTGGCATTCCCTTGCCCTGGTCCTTAGTGATGGGATGCAGTGGAAGGATCATGGCATCCTTCCTCTCTCCTGGTGTTGAGGTGTTTTTCCCCAAGACCAAGAGTATTCTGCAAGTGTTTCTACCCAAGACTTGTGTTACTTCTTTTCCAGAGTTTGTGGCTGCCAGGTGCCCAGACTTATGCCTGCTTGTCCCTAGCAGCAAGAAATCAAGGAAAACAGAAGTGTTAACCTGAGGTTATCCTGCCATGGCCCCTGGGGTGCCCATGGTCTGCCCATGCCATGAGGAGGTGTTTTGCATAGGAATATGAAGAGTTTTTGCCTCCTGTTTCCTCATCCCTTCATGCCTGAAGAGGTCTGTGGCAGCAGGGAACTGTCTCTAAGGAGGACTGATCTTGCCCTTCATAGGGATTAAGGGCCTCTGCTTGGTCTGGGATGAACTCCCCTGCTCCCAGGGAAGCTGCAGGGACTGCTGTGTTTCACTGTGATTATTATTTTCTTTTCTTCCTCCTTTTGTGGAGCCAGAAGGCCGTTCCACAAATCCCTCACGCTTTGTGCTCCGAGATCCCTCAATCCACTTTCCCCAGCTTTTCCTTGGACCATTGCTTTCCTTATGGTACCAGCCTATAGAACAGTGGCCATGTGGGAAGGGGAAGGGGAGGACAAATGAGATCCCCCCACGGTGGATGGGCTGAGCTCATCATCTCAGCTACCCCATCCCAGGCCATAAACCCTTTGTGCTGTGGCTGCTGCCGTGGTGCTGTGGGAGCAGGGACAGGGCGTTCACACTGCTTAAGTAAAACATCATGATTTAAGTTTTATTTAATTTAAACAGTAAAATGGCCATTAAACAAGTTATGCATTGACCACCTTACCATGCCCTCTAGCGCTAATCCTGATTAAGTGTCTTTATTACTTGGCTCAGTTGGCCTTTTTTAAATGACAACGAAACACTTGATAGCACGAGTGCAAACTCCTTCCCTCTTGGCAATTATCTCCCTTCCTACTGAGTTTTGCAGGAGGAAGGAGAGGGGGAAGAGGGAAGAAGGGGAGAGTGGGTTGGCCAGGGGAGAAATCCAGCGGCACCTGATCCGTTTATCACACAGATACGCCATAGTGGAGGCTTAATGGAGATTTAAATAATTCAGAGCACTCAGCCCCGCTAAAGCTGTATAATGAGCCTTCTGCACTGTGAGCCACTGCTCGGCTGAGCACACGAGCAGGGAGGTCGTGTGGTTTTTCCATGCATAATTAAAGGGATAAAAGGGGATTTAGAGCAACAGTGTTACAATGAAGCATGCGGACAGAGGCTTCGCTTTTATTTAACTTGGAAATGCCAAACTGTTTTGGACTTGCAGAATAAGCTTCCCTCTTACTTTTTCTTTCTTTCTTTTTTTTTTTTTTTAAATAAATGCTTTTTTCTTTCCCCTGTTCCTTGCTGACCTGTCCCTGCTCCCCTCTGTCCCTTGAGCACAGGGTTGTCTCTGGAGAGGGTTCACGGTGATTCTGGTTTCACACTGGGACAGCAGCTCTCTGCCCTGTGGCTGTTCAAGGTCTTTGCTGGGACGAGCAGGCATGAGCTGAGAAGCCTTTTCCAGCATGTTCATGTTCCCTTTGTTTCTGCCAAAGGGAAGGGCTCCAGATGAAAAGAATGAAAAGGAAGGTGGGAAGAATACTGGGGCTCCCTTTAACTCTTGGGACTTACCATTTGCTGCTGTGTTGCCCAGGTGTGCAGCAGGCAGGTACCCACATCCCCACGACATGTTGGGCCAGGAATACTGTTTCCCACACTGCCCTTCATCGACTTGCTGTACCTGATCTGCCCCTGAGCCTGTGCTGTTGACAGGAGGAGGAAATGGCTTTGCATTATCCTCCTCCTCAGAAATGGAGCAGCATGTTTTTGTGCTGAAAGTTGTTCCCAACCACGTCTCAAAACCTGTGCAGGTCTAGGGTGGTGCTGGTGGTAATTAACACGTCTTTCATTAACCCCTTATCACAGGCTTAATCTGCTGTGGGAGAGCTTCTCAAAGCAAACAGGTTTGGTTTCATCACCGCTCTTCTGAGCTTGAGTGGATCCCCCTGCATCCCTCTGAAATGTGGGGGTAAGCTGGAGAGAGCTTCAGTGGTCTGAGGGGCCCTGAGAAGGTTGGGGAAGGGCAAGCATAAACTCACCTGTAATAGGACGTGCTAAAAACTGTGCTGCTCCATGGTTTTGGTCTGCCATGCAGCCTGAACCAGTTGTAGTGTAAAGTAGACTTGCATCCCTCCCTTCACTGCCATAGCCACTCATGAAACTGGGGATTGTCAGGTTGCAGAGAAGACTTATCAAAGGAGGGTCTATGCCACTGCAAATCTGAAATGTGTTCACTGTGGTGTTACTGTTAGAAGCAAAGATGTTTTATGCTGCTGTAGAAAGATGTTGCCCCAGGTAACGAAGACAGATGAGCTCAGTTTGGCCTGGCTGCAAAATGAAGTTTTTGTTGTGGGTAAAGGTTTAAGAGACTGGGGTATTCAGACTAGCAAAGCAGAGGTTGAGCAGGGTTGCAGCTGCTCCTTGTACATATGGTAGAGGATGAATGTCCATGGTGGAGAATGATTCCTGCAGGTCAAGATCAAGACAAAACATGGAGTGGTGAAAGTGCTCAGTGAGAGTGGTGGGGTCTGAAAACCAAACTGGTTTTAAGGGGATGTTTTAAGGTGATAACTTGGAGAAAGGGATTCTGTGATGTTTCTGCCTGCAGCGTACATGGATCACTAAATCAGGAGGTCCTTTCTGGTCTTTAACCCTTAATAACCACTTGGCCCAGGGGCTCATGGATGACTCCCTGCTCAAATGTGTGTGTGTGTTCCTCAGGGCTCTCCTGCCCTCCCCACCTTCTCCAGGCAGAGCTTCAGAGCTGCTTGTCACTGTGATGTACAGCCTACAGCACAAGCTACTGCCACACTTAATCCCTAAAATTAATTCCTTATTTTCCTTTAGATAAAGAAAACAAGAAGGAATCTGTGGCCACCGTATTCACCTTAATGCCATGTGTCTGTCAGTCATTTGTTGCTGTGTGGGAAGCGGGGTCGGTGTGACATCCTGCACAGTCACTGTAATGGAAACATCCATCTTGTCTCCCTCAATGCACACTCTCCATTTAGGAATTTCGAAAACACTTCTGTCAAATATCACTCTCTGCACAATCCTGTTAGCAGGGCTGACGAATGGAGTCTCAAATTAAGACCGATCCCTCTGATAACCACAGTGCTGTAGGAGAGTCATCTGCTCAGTCAGGGCTATTTATTATATTTGATTAGCTGGGATGGCAATCTTCACAACCCACTGTAAATTCTATTAGGGGCACTCTGAGGCCCAGAAACGCAAATTACGCTTCCCAACACACATATGCATATATATCGCCTCTCTTAGCAAATGGGTAATTTCCTCACATTTATTTCAGTGTTGTTTCAGGAGAGACGTTGGTGCCTTCCCTTTGCCAGGAGGGGAGGGAGAGGGATGAGGGGAATGCTATTGGGGAGCCCCATGTTCTCTTTGCTCTTCCTTGTGAGACCCTGCATGGCAGCTGCTCCAGCAGGAATGTGCTGTGAGCTCTCCCGCTCTCCAGCTCCCATCAGCCCATATCCTACAGGTATTCCCATCCAAATGGGTGCTCAGGAGCAGAAGTCTCCTGTAGTGACAGACCTCATGGTAGACTGGCCTGTGGTGAAGCTCTAAAGATAGGAAAGGCTCTTCACTCTTTATTTTTTTGTTTTTCCTTTATAATTTGGTTCAGCAGGCCCCTGGCCCCTCCAGCTGGCTGTGGGACATGAAGTCAGGTAGGAAGCTCAGGGCAAGCTCTCCTCTGGCACAGCCATGGCAGCAGGAGCAGGATAAGATAGGATTGCTGTGCAGCTCCATTGATGATTATTGATCATGTGCTCTGAGACTTGTGCTAAAAGGTACATTTTAATCAGATTGTTCTTGATGATGTCAGTGACTGAGGTGCCTTTGACTCCCGTGGAGTTGGCATTAGTGGGTGCTTTCAGGGAAGGAAGATGCCTGTCCCAGAGGCTGCTCACAGAATAGGGCATCCAGAAGTTTCCTTTATTTGTGCTGATTAATTCTGCCAAGAACTGGAATGGTTTATTAAGGGCAAACAAAGCAAAGATTATTTGTGAGCAGCACTTTTGGTGGTTTACTTTCTTCTCCTGGTCATATTTTATTTTAAGAATCATTTTCGTAATGGCTCATTAATTTCTGCATTACATGGTCATTTACCAATATACACTAGTGGGGTAGTGTCCATTGATCCGAGGGTTAGGATCGTCACAACTGGTTATTCTGCAATTAATGGGTTTTTAATAAACCCTTTTTAAAGCGTGACTAAACCTCTTAAAGAATAACACTGACATAAAATCTGAGTTTTATCTTTTCCCCACCTTTATGTCTTGTACCTGTTCGATAGGATGCTTACAACATCTGTGGCCCTTTGATGCACTTCCTATTGTATGTGTTTCCCTAGGATTTTTATTGAGGCAAGCTGCTGCAACGATGCATGGCTGAAAGAAAATCCTTACAGAGCTGGAGGTACCTGGCAGTGTATTTGAATCTTCTTAAGCAGTTAAAAAAGAATAATTCCCAACACAGTGAATGAAAATCTTATCTGGGCATGATAAGGATCCCTTGGTCCCTGTAATATAATGTAGTTTGTTTCTTCCAGCCTCACAAATGCTTTTGTTATCTTTGCTTTGATTTTTTTTTTTCTTCCTCCCCTCTGTATTGCTTTGATTTTTTTTTCCCCCCTTCCCTTTTCTCTTTCATCATTGTTGCTTGTAAATCCTTCCCCTGGTAGAGATTAGAGCAGGAATGAGTGATAGATGCTGTCAGTAACAGGAGCTAATTTTACCCCTGATAATGGCTCTGTGGTTTATACAGACTTCACTCTGCCGGGCGCAGACACACCTCGGGGCCTGTCCTGTCTGTGCCCTGCTCACAGCTTGGCAGTGGGGTCTGAGCTGCTGGGGAGGGTGCTGCCAAATCCTTACCCTGGGAAGAGTCTCTGTGAATGCTTCTCACTAGTGAAGGATTCCCTCCAAGCACACAACTAAAGCAGCAGCAGTTGTTGGTTTTTCCATGAAGAGTGTTTTGCCCTCTGCAGAAGTGTGTGCATGTGGTCGGGGTGAGCTGGGTTGGGTTCAGACCCCTTGTCTGGAGAGAGGATTTCTCTGGTACCCACTCAGCTCCCAGCCCAGCAGGGAGGACTTTGGGTACAGCAGGTGGGTACCATGGCAGTGGCACTCAGAGGTTTGTGTAACACCACCAAACGTTTCCCTGGGAGGTACCACACCCTGCTGGGACCTCCTTTTGGAGTTGGGACCTGTACATGGCTAGGGTGGTGTGATGGCAGCTCTCACTGTGAGCCACTGAGGACTAGGGGCTCATCTGCCACCAGAGTGGCTCAGTGCTCTATGGATTCACTCCTTCTTGCTGCTGCTTTGTGCCCATCTTGTGCTGTCAGAAGGGAGGGGGAGTGCCAGGCCATGCACAGCCCACGCATGAGGAAGGAGCAGAGCTAGGAAGGAAGAGGGCAGCAGTGGTGCTCAGCTCTTCTCTCAGTTACACAGTGGGGGAAGCAGCACTGCTGGCCTGGCTCACCAGTGTCTTTGACTTCTCTCTGGCCATGCTCTGCATGGAGGACACTGTTGGATTTGGCCCCGCTCTTTGCCTGCAGTTAAGTCAACACTCAGCAGTTCATTTTTCCCTTACAAGGGACTGAGCTCTGGGAGGGGATTGGCAAAGCAGAAAGCGAAGATGGCTGGGAGGGTGTTGGAAGTCTGAAGGAGTCTCGAAGCGCAGCTGTCACAGCCAGGCTCCAATGCAGAGGGGTGTGCTCTGCTCATTTCAAATTGCACCTGCAGGTTCCGTGAGGGATGTTTGCTCCTCTGGCCTTTGCTGCTGAGTTTGATTGCTCTGGGTCACGTTCCCACAAAAGGGTTGTGGTCATCTTGGTTAACTGCTTGTCCTTGGATAAAGAGTGAAATATCCTCTGCTATTTATTTTCTTGGATACCCTTGTTTACTGAGTTGGGTTTTTTTTCCGGGTAGTTTTCCATGGTCTTGGTGTGCATGTGTGTGAACACATGGTACTCTCCCTCACCATCTTTTTTTTGGTGTGACACAGTCACATCAAGCCTCTCTATTCACATTACAAAGTACAGAAGGGAGAAACAACTATTTTAAAGCCTCTGTTTACAGATGACAGTGTGTTTCTTCGGTCACTATTAGTGCTTCTAGTACTTTATCTACTATAATTTGATTCCCTTTGGCAACTGGCTTCCTTCAGTTTGTCTTCCTTACATATGGAATAGCCCTGAGATAGCTTTAGTACACTGCTTGTTTTACTTGAGTCCTTATTAATATCTTTAGATGTCACATATCCCTTCCCTTTTTAACTCAAGCAGTAATTGAGGGAGATCCTGGAGTATGAGGTGATGTGTCCTGCAGAGTGGGTTGCATTGCTGAGACTCTTTTTCTCCTACCTTTTTGGCTTTTCACCTTCAAATGCCTGATTTTTCTCCCTAGGTATGTGATTTTCTCCCCGGGTATCTCCCCTGCACCAGTGCTGACAGTTCACACCTCATCTCCTCCTACAGGTGGTATTTTATGACCTGTAGCAGTGACTGAATGGATCCATAATGGATCCCTGTGGCACTGTCCCCTCTTTGCTGCTGACAAAGCAGAGCCAGGGCACTCCTTTATTTTGAAATATTTTAGGGATAGCAAGGTTTATTCTTCATGAAGCTGTTACTGGTTAGAGAGGTGGAGGAAAGATAATGGTAAAAAGCTGTGACACAGCTGTTCCAGCCCCGATCCAATATGGGCTGGGAGCAGCTGATGGCCTCTGATTGCTGGTGATTTTCTTAATTATGCTTGGAAAGAACCAGGGGGTGGATAGAGAGCAGATGCCATCTGTGAGGCCAAGTCTTCTGCTACTTGCAGAGTCTATGGTAGAAGAGCTCCACTATGAAATAGTCAGTGCCTATTGAGAGTGTTTGGGTGCTAATTCAGTGTAGCTTTGCTGCCTTTTGATGGGGTAATGGTAATCTGTGTAATTACAGGATAGTTTCTCATTAATAACTGCTCCAGTTGTTTCTCCCTCCTGCCTTCCCCACCAGTTTCTTGTCTTCTGTAACTCAGGCTGATGTTACTCATAGAATCGTAAGTATTTGTTTTGTCTAATGGAAATAAATGCAGTGGTCGCTTTGGACCCAAACTTAGAATCATAGAATCATTTAGGTTGAAAAAGCCCTATAGGATCACCAAGTCCCACTGTTAATCCAGCACTGCCAAGTCTTTTATTAAGAGGAACACAATTTTTTGCCTCCTCGGCTATGCAGGCTCTTTCCTCCTGTGTAATGTTCTGTCCTTCATCTCCTTTCTGTTTTTTTTAATGGTGTCTTTGCATTTTTCAATCATATCTTCACAGTGAACTAAAAAGAAAATCAAGAATCTGCCAAAACATTCATCATGTCTTTTCTTTTCAAAATAGCATCAGAATTCAGGCCTGTTTCAGGGCTGTGCTTTGAAAATTATGCAACCCAGAGATGGGAAATTGAAAAGTCCTGTGAACATTGGTTTGAATTTTTAACCAAATTCCTGTCAGCTGCATTTCTTCCTTTTATATGTTTTCCTTCTATTAATATTCCAGGGAATGAGTTTACAAGAAACAATGAATTTTAAACAAAGCATGGAGGACTTTTCCCGAGAATGAATTTCAAGCCATAAATGTGAATATTCTCGCTGGGCTCTGGGAGGAACTGCCCTTTGCAGAACAGAGATGTGACATTGGTTCTTACATCCAAAATCAGCCCGAATGTCCTGTATTTTGAACACATCCAGCAAACAGCTTAGGAGGAGATGAGCATCTTCTTCTCTTGTTTGGCACCAGTAAGACGAAAAGAGAAGTGGGGACAGAATTAACTGAATCACTTATGGGGAAGAGATTTTCACCCAGCTCAATTTTTGTCATGAAAAAAGCACTCTCAATGTCCTGACAGATTCTGAAAGGGCTTTCTGTTCCAGGAGGGAATGGTAGGGTGCCTTTCTCAAGGAACATCTGGCCTGTATTTGTGAGCTCCTGGGTGACTTAAAAAAACAAAAGCACGTTGTCTTCAGAGGTGCTCTGTACCTGCAGCTCCTCCTGGAGCTGGTGTGAATCAGGCTGGTGGCACAGACTCTGCTGTCACCTTGAGGGATATCCTTTCTTCGCTTCTTTCTGGTTGCCTCCTGACGAGCTCGGGAGTGTGTGGTTAGATTTTGCTGCTTGGTTTTCATTTCCTTTCTGCAGAGGAACAGTTTGTGGGTTCCACATCCTGTCTCTTCACCGCAGGTTTGTAACAGATTGGTGTGGGGAGCCAGCAGCCCCAAAAGCAGGGCTGAAAGAGCCCGAGGCTGCTGTGGTGGTCCTGGCTCAGGGACGTTTCAGCCATCCCCAGGCTTTTTTAGTTTTCCAAACATCTCTGAAGGTAATTATATCTTTCCCTAAGGCTGAAGGTGTCTGAAAGGATTAGAGGTGAGACTTGTTAGGGAAGAAGAGCTGCTAAAAGCCATCTCCTTCAGCAGGAGGGCTGAGGTCGCCTGCTGGGAGGCAGGGCAGTGGGGCAGCCTTCCCCACAGCTCTGTGCCCTCTGCCTGAGCTGGAGACAAAATAAGATGCCTTCAGCAGGACCCTGACCTTCTCCAGTACAAACTCACATAGACCCAGCCCACGGGATCCAGGGTGAAAGGGTGATGAGGAGAAGCAATTATGTCCTGACACAATGACAAGCTGGGAGCAGGCAGAGGTGGAATTACTCAGTTCCAGTATCCCAGTGCACCAATTCACACTGAGACGTTCAGGCCACTCAAGTTTCCATCAGGGAGCACTCATATCGTGGTGCTGTGAGGTGGTAGCCTGAGGTTGCTTGGTGATAGACATTCACAGTTCATCTCTTCCATGGAAGAAGCTGGGGGTGAACAGTTTGGATATTTCCCCAGAGTCCTTTGAGGGTCTCTGGGCTGCAGGAGGTGCAGGTTTTACCTCTTCTCCCCATTGCTTTCCCAGGCTGCTGTTGATTTCTTGAAAACAGAAGCAGCTGAGGAGTGAGAGAAAGTTGTGTGGGACGAGACCTTTCCTTTGCTTGAGGGATGAGCTGCCGTGAATCTGTACGAAACCAACTCTTTCTGGCTCACGTGGGTGCATTTGGGCAACCCCAGTTCCCTTCTGCAGTAACCCCAGCCTGCTTCCTGCTGAGCCAGCCAGGACCAAATGCTTCATCCTCCCCCTGTGCTAATCCAGCCTGTGCTAACCTTCATCCAGCCTGTGCTAATGGGATGCAGGTCCCACACTGCTGCTCCACTGCTGTTCCATTCCATTTGCAGGGAGCCTCGCTGCTTTGAAGGCAGCCCTTGTGTTATCGTGTCAGAAGGTAATTAAATAGACCCCAATTCTTTTAATTACTGCTCTCTCCTCGGTACATGGCTGCACACAGGGGTGAAGTGAAGGATGTGGAAATAATCACTGACAGATCACAGCTGGAAATCCGTGGC